AATTTTGCAATCAGTGACTGATATTTATTTGGTGACTGCTTCTGGGGTACCAGGTATACATCTACATAAAAATGAGTGGGGCTGAATTTTTAGGGAGAAAAAGCTGATGTATCTTCCCATGACCTTTTCTTTGAGGACAAATCCCCATAGTATTCAAACCAAATATAAAATCAGATGTAATAAAAATCATTTAGAACAGAGATCAGCAATTCATAGCTCCAAAATGACTGCACTCTGGAAATCTGATACTAACCAAACAGATTGCAGAAACAGAATTATTCATATTTTAAAAAGTAATATATTTCCTTGTTTGTTTAGCAAGTTCATATGTTGTCCAGTTCCTTAATGGCTATGGGTGGCCTAGAAAAATGCTACAAAAACAATAATAAAACTTTTAAATAAGAACTGTAAAGCCAATTCCCCCTGACTTCTAAACAAACATATTAGATTTTTAATGGCCTGACTAAATACATATATTTTGAGTCCATTCCTGAACCATGAGAGGGGGGGGCTTGCTTTCAATCTGGGGATAATTTATTTGTATATGATAAGTTTGCAACGCAAAAAGGAGATTATATTTTGCTTTTCATAAATGTCACCTTTTATGGAGTGACATTGAGGAGGAACCACAACAGACCATTCAAAATAAGTCTCCAATATCAATGTAAAATAAAGTTTATTTCTATATTGTATGAAACAAAAGTTATAAAATTAGAAACAGGTTTATACATTGCATACATCGATTTCCAGAATTAACCTTTGATATGGCATCTTTGCAATGATAGGCTATGGAAAAAGGAAAACTTGCACATCCTCATGTAGTCTCAGTTAATGTCATACAAAAATCTCTAATTGCTCTAATCTTTGGCTTTTGAAAATTCTGATATGTCTTATTGTATAAATGTGTCCATCCCAGCTGCCTGAAAAGTTGTTCTCTTCATACTTGTGATATCCTTTGTATTCGTATTTGAACAAAATGGCAGAAGATAATGACCATTTCTATGAGTAGTTGTTTCTGATTTGTCACTCGCTGTTTATTTTTCAAGATATCTGGTGAAACAAAACTAACAAATATTGATTGTTGCTGCTTAGATTCACCACAAAATCTGTCAATTGACCTTTTCTGGATTCTACTTGGATTCCCCATCCAGTATTTAAATCCAAACATAAACTTTAAATCTCTTGTTTTGGGATGTGCTCTGGTTCACTGCACTGATTTCTTAATTCAGAAACTTGATATATTATCAGTAAAACAGCAATAATCTAGTCTATGAAATGAAACTGCACCTGCCTCTACAAGTTCAAATGACACAGGTGGTGACATAGCATGATATATATTCAAATACTCAAACCCAAAAGAGAAACCCAGCTATAAACCCAGCTATAAAGGGCAACAGAAAGGCAACTTAAACTCCCCTTGAGACAATATGGTGGACATGTGACAAAACAAAGAAATATTGGAATAAGATTCACATCTTAATACAGATCGTTAAAGTGAATATAAAGATAAAACCAGAGGCTTTTCTTTTGGGTTTAATGGAAAAAGGTTTTGAAAAAAATGGTACTTTGATGTTATATACTGTTTGTTAATGGAAGCAAGATTACTTTATGCACAAAAATGGAAGGACACTGATTCCCACAATGGATGAATGGCTGAAAAAGTTGATGGGGCTAACAGAGATGACCAAATTGACTGCTCTGATTAAAGAAAAGTACACAATTAATGTTGTTTCTACTTGGAAACCACTCTTGGACTTTGTGCTTGAGGTGGAGGGGGGATGAAGCTTTGATTTTGGCACTTGCCAATTAGATAGGTTTGTTGTTATAGAAATGGCTAGTCTATATAATTCTATAAAAGTAAAAAGTTGAGGTTTGATTCTGTTATCTTATTCTACTGCACTTTTTCTTTCTTCCCTTTGTCCTACATTTTTCCCTTCCCTTCTCCCTCCCTTGTTTCCCCATTATTTTATTCTGTATCCTTGTATTTTACATTATACTTGGATAAACCAATAAGAATTTCTGCAACTGAGACAGTATTTAATCAAAATAATAGCTGCTAATCCAGGAGTGAAATTCAAAAATTTTCCGTACCAGCTTTGTGGGCGTGGCTTGGTGGGACTCAGTCTCTAAAAGGAAGAAGGCGGGCGGGTATGGGTGGGGCCAACCAATTCAAATCGTCACTACCACCGAGGTGGTGTGAGGTGGTTGAATTTCACCCTTATCCTAAGTGATCCGAAAAATAGTATTCACCACTGAAAGATATAAAACAAGATTTGTCCTTGTTTATTCCCTCTTATTTATTTGCAAGAAAGGATTTCAACAGCGTTTCCTAACCTGGAGCTCTGAAGATATATTGGACCAACTTTCTGAGAACTGGTTTTCCACACAGTTTGAGGAATCTATGCTCCTTTGCTTTGCAACCAAAGGCTACTAAGCATCATAGACTTTGACTCTCTATTTCCCACTAATCCCACAAAGGCTGGAATGCTAGGCTAGAAAGAGCCACCTTTTCTTTTCAACTCTACCACTACATCACCGCCAAAAATCAGCAGGATGAGGCCAATTCACAGTATACCAATGAAGGCTTTATTAAGGAAAAAGCTAGGAAGACATTTGTTTACCTTTCACCACTTGTATGACTCCATTCTTAATAAAGCCTCCAATAGGGCATTGATGTTTGGTTAAGAAATCCATCCATCAAGAGATGTGTCATTGTGGCCATATAATCCAGATATTTGTTTTAGGTCCTAGAAGTATGTGAGCCATATGTGGGATTCAGTGAGGAAAATAAGGAGCTGGTAATGGGCAGCTTTGTGAGGGATCTCAGAAAGAGAAAATGCAACCAATTGTTTCTGAATTCTCTTAATGTATAATAGCAAGACCTCCTGCTGAATCTAGCTTTAAACAAAGTGTCCTTTAAGAAGATGAACTTGAGGTACAGAATGAGTGTGAGAATGCATGGAAATACGATTAGACGTAGAATTCATTGTTGCCTCTTTCCTGCCTCTACTAGTTTTCAACTTAATGAAAACTATGAACTGAAATTAACTGTAGAATAAAACAAACTCATGGTACAAATAGAACTATTGGCCTTAGAATTGGCAACAAAGATATCAAAGTGGTGGATAGCGTCTGCCTTTTAGGATCAACCATCAATAGCAGAGGTCTCCAAACTTGGCAACTTTGAGACTTGTGGACTTCAACTCCCAGAATTCCCCAGCCAGCATGTCTTAAAGTTGCCAAGTTTTGAGATCCCTGATCAATAGTAAAGGAATAAACAGTCAAGAAATATGCTACAGATTAGCACTTGGTAGAGCAACTATGAAAGCCTTGGAAAAAATGTTCAGATATCATAAAGAGCCTATACCTAGATATATCAAAAAAGGGCAAGCAATAGTATTCCCTGTGACACTTTGTGGAAAAGAAAGTTGGATTTTGAAGAAGCAGAATAGAAAGAATGTATTGATGGTTTTTTTTAAAAAATTTTGGTGCTGGAGAATAATCCTGAAAATACCTGGACAGTAAAAAAAGATATTCATAATAGAACAAATTGATTTCACCTACAGCTTAAATGTCCAAGGTTCAAATTATCATATTTTGGAAAGATTTTGCTAAGAACTAGCTCTTGTGAGAATTCTATCATGCCGGGAAAAGTTAAGGAAAAGGTAAAATAGAATGATCAGCAACAAGGAGAATATATTCAATTACAGTGGCAAGGGATGCATCACTAAAAGCTTGAAGGATCATATTAGGGATAGACTATAATGGGGGCGGGGGGAATCTATCTACATGGTTGCTAAAAGTTAACACTTATCTGCTGGCACATAACCAGTCAATCACGTGGCTCAGCAACCCCCATTCCTTGAATCAAAATATCTATTAGAATGATAGATACACTAAAATTGGCAATAATAGAAACCACTGTCTGGTATACCCACTCACATTAACTCAATTCCTATTTTTGTGAAAAGCCAAGATAGAAGGCGTGGCAAGGTGGAGCAACAGAAATTAGAATACACCCTAGAAAATTCAATAGTTCAAATCCTCAAATCACTAAATTATGAACCGAAAACAAGAACTTTTGTGCAAATTTTCACTTTCATGGCACAATTGTTCTTCCACCTCCAAACAGGTTTCCGTTTTGTTTCATAAGCCTAGATTCTACCTGATGTGCACTATGTCTTCTATTTTTATTCCAACCTCCCAGCTGTAGCTGTGGTATTTATCGAATTCCATTAGAACAGCCTTACCAGCACTAAGAAATCATTAAGTGATGGAACCGACAATTTCCATGGTACAACCGTGGTCTCAAATACAGTTCCTCATGTACAGTTCCTCAATCTAAGAGAGAACAGGAAATACCACTGCCCTTAAAGTTAGAATAGGACACAAAGCTAGATCAGACGATGTTCAGATTAAGGTAAAACCATTATATACAGAGAGACAGCTGTGTAAAATCAACAGTGATATTCTGGAAATTATTTGGAATTGAGTTTTCAAAAATAGTCTGAAGCCTGACACACCCGAGGCTTGTCTGTTCTTTCAGTTCATTTTGTACTTGGAATTCTGCTGCTGAGTTAGCTAACTATTGTTTTGTTTTTAGTAATCCGTCTTGATGTATTTTCTAGCCACATTGGATTCTGAGGCACGGCAAAAAGTTTTATTTGAAAGTTTTAAAACTAAAAATGATATTTAGATAATGAGTTATTTTTTAAAAAATTGCAATGATGTCTCTTTTGGACCCTGCTTCATTTTCCTATGGGAGACATTGCCTGAATCATAATGATAAAGACAGATGATGTGGTAAGTGCAAGTTCTTTCTTTTTCCAAATTTAAACATTGAGGAAAGAAGAAAGGACATGCTGCGTTCAAGAATTGTCTTTCCCAACCCAATCCCCACCCCACCCCCGATCGCCATTAGTCTGTCTGGGAATTCTTAGATTTGCTTTCCAATACACCTGAAGGGTTCAGTTTGAGAGTCCCTTGCTCCGGAGAACAGTTCACACCTGTTCAGTAGCCATTGCCCTCTCGTACATTCGCTCCAGAATACGGTGGATGCCTGCGAAGCTCGGCCTATCCGAAGGCAACTTGCTCCAACAAAGGCGCATCAAGTTATACAACTCCAAAGGGCAGTTATCTGGGCACGACAGGATATTCCCATCTCTGACGTAATAAATGACTTCCTCGTGAGCCATCCCATAATAGGGTTGCATGCCAAAGGCAAAAATTTCCCATAGGACCACCCCGTAGGCCCAGACATCGGACTCGGTGGTATAACGGTTGTAGAAGATAGATTCCGGGGGCATCCAACGTATGGGGATGGCATCGTTTTCGTTGGCCTTGTAATAGTCTGCCGAGTACATATTTCTGGAGAGGCCAAAGTCAGCAATTTTAACCACCATGTTTTCTCCTACCAAACAGTTCCTGGTGGCCAGGTCCCGGTGGACAAACTTGCGTTCTGAAAGGTAGGCCATTCCGGCTGCTACCTGTTTGGCAATGCAGAGCTGGTCAGTGCAAGAAAGAGTGAGCACGTTGAGGCTAGAGGGTCTGATCTTTGGCTCGAGGTTGTTGTTGGTTGGGTTACAGAGGCTGCGTGGTGATCGGTTACGCAGGTATTCGTTTAGGTCTCCAAACGCCATATATTCGAAAAGCAGGCACATGGGCTTTCCGATAGCACATACCCCTGAAACCAAGAAACCCTATTAGATAAACAAGATTTATTTTCATCATTTCATAAGCAAGAGTTATTTCATATGCCAAGAAACAGGGGAGCTGAAAAAAACAGTACCTCTTGGTTCTCTTCATAGTTTATGTCTCATGATACAGGTAGACCTCAACCCTCAGTTTGTTTAGTGACTGTTCAAAGTTACCACAGTACTAAAAAAAAGTGGCTTATGACCTTTTTTCACACATTATGACCATTGCAGGATTCCCGTGGTCATGATCAAAATTCAGATGCTTGGCAGGTGTCTCATATTTATGACGGTTGCAGTGTCCCAGGGTCACATGATCACAACCTTCTGCCAAGCAAAATCAATGGGGGAGCAAGATTCACTCATTCACTCTGTTACTAACTTCACAACTGCAGGGATTCACTTAATAGCCACAGTAAGAAAGGTTGTACAATGGGGCAGAACTCACTTAACAACAGACATTTTGGGCTCAATTGTGGTCATAAGTCAAGGACCACCTGTTACATTGTTTCCTCTAACAGTTGAATGCATATTATGCTTCCCCCACATTGTTGGCTTACCAGAAGTGATGAAAAATGTAGCTTAACCCAATGGGAAATTGCCAGGTTGGGCTACCAAAAGGGAAGCTTGCTTTTTCTGCTATGAAATCACTGCTTATGGGATAGGCAGCCATATAAATTCTTAGAATTAAATATAAGTAAATAAGATTAAATTCACAAAATAGAAGAGTTATCCTAAAGAAAAGCAGGTGTTTTAAAGGATCATTATTTGTAGGGCAGAAATAACCATTTGATAATGGAGGTAAAAGAGGAAGAGAAGGCAACATAAAGAAAATACAAAATAATTTCATCTGCAAAACAAGTGGCCAGGACTACATTTCCTCTTTGAGTGTAGCAAAGATGCTTTACTCCCTCTTGAAAAGAATTCCAAAAACAATTTCTTTTGTATTACCCCAAATGATTTTTTCTTAACAACACTAGCAACAGGTCCCACTTTTTAAAACACCTTAGCTTCCAGTAACAATGGATTCAACCACAACTGAATGATTCAATTAGCTTTGGATGCCAGGAATATGTGAATGATAAAACAAGGAATCACCTAAGGGTATATATACAAAGTACTCTTCTCTCATCCAATCATCATTCAAACTCATAGTCATTTGTGAGTTAAATGAGGTCACTGGACATTGTTGATGAACTTTGTTCATTGTATAATCAGAACATACAATCCTCCATTCATACTATTAAATTGGGAAAAATGGAGACTGAGAAATGCATAAATATTGATCATACTATTACGACAGTTTTCTAATGAACATTCAGTAGCTAGGTTTGAATTTTTGCTAGTGCCTTCAACTGTCTTTAAAAGAAAAAGTAAGCATTTCTTAGTGTGAAAACATCTGGATCTGACTCCAAGAAAAGTGTCCGCATGGAAGTTTGGGTCAAAGGATGCTCAGCAGTCCCATAACCCTTTGGCCTTTCCTAATATATCCAATGTGATGTTAATAAATACACACACACATTTACCCAGCAGAGAGTCAATTTCCTGTTTTCTTTTTCCTTTTTTGGCTGCTGAAATATAGACAATCCTTTCAGCCAGAAGAAGACACAACAAAACCTTCAGGTGTTTCTGATTGCTACACTCAATAGTCTTTGGTGGGAAATGACAGAGAAGGAAAGGGCCCGAATGAGTCTATCAAATGGTGCACTGTATTCTGGAAAGAAAGGGGCCCTTTGAAATATTAGGTTAAAGAAGAAGACTCTCAAAAATTGCAAGTAATTTTGCACAGGATGCTAAGGGGCCAGATGTATCCATAGCTTTGCCAGATCAAACCTCAGGTTCTGGTACTGCCAATTCCTTCATCAGTAAGTCATCTTTGATGGTTAAGCCAGTACTCTAAAGACATGTTTCAAAATGTACATCTACCATGTGAAGGGCAAAGCAGAGAGGATTGGCTTTGGTACCTAAAAGTTTGACAATGTTTGGATTGTCGAATTCAGCCATGAGAGCTGCCTCCCTTTGAAAATCAGCCTGCATGTCTGCTGAAGCTTCTTCTTTGAGCATCTTCACTGCAACCATTGTGAAAGGTTCGTAAGAAAGCAGTCCAGGAGCCCTAAGGAAAGATGCAGAAGGAAAAGTTACAGGTGTGATGGAGTCCTTTATGGAATGCAACTCCCAAGATTTCCAGACGTCAGTTGTTAGCCTGTAATGATTAACTGGGACAGGAGGATTAAAAGAGGATGAGTTATAGTATGATACAAGAGATTACTGTAGCCTCACCATATCTGTCTTAATTCACACTACAATCTTTACTTTACTTTAGCATTGTATGGAAAACATTTTCTTCTCATTGGTTATGATGGGATCCCATCCCATTGTTATTATCATGACAGAACATAGGATGTGATAGAGCATAGCAAGAAATCACAGCATATCACTACCAGTATATCATCCCTATATAGGAAGACTAACTTAGATAATAGGGCTCATGGCAGGAAATGATATCTGCTTCATAAAGTATGCCTATTTATTTGCATCCTTCCTGAAGTTCAAATAGCTAATGATAAGGAGAAAAAAAAGAATATGCAGAGCAATTGGTAATTAGGAGCACACTTCAAACAGAATACGATTAAAGCTCAGGGAGAGAATTTCTACTTCTAACTATCTCACGTTAATAGATATGTCTGGTCTGACCATGAGGAAGAGATATCCTAGTCATGTAGTAACTCTCTGTACTTGTATGTAGTAGGGAACAGTAAGTGTATAGAGTCAACTTGCTCAGCTGTTGGATTAAGTGTCAAGCTGTTTTACTGTTCTGGAGCCATTCAGTGTTTCTAGTCTCCAAAACATATTTCTAGCTTTTATGATAGCTGCTCTGGTGCAGCTGAATGCTTTTATGATAGCAGACAGGTGCAGCTGAATGCAGCAAATGGCACATCATTGTCAAATGCCAGCAAAAGGCAAAATGCCAGTCTGAAATCAAATCACCTGGCGTGGCAAAGCAACTGCAAGTCAGGCATGTGTAATTTTGCAATCAAGAGCATCAAATACTTTGCAAATATTTAAGCTCAGTGAAATGTCTTCAGGAAACTGTTGGGCTCTGATGATGAGCCACAGGAATCTCTTTTAACGTAGCTGCAACATATTTTGTTCTATGAGAAAGAGGCAAGGAAAATGGTGTGACTTCCTTGAACAGTTGGAACAATTGAGTAATTTGGATGGGGGTATCTTAATTGCTTTCTAGAGCTAAAACATAAGATCTGGATTTTTTCAGACACAAAACTAAAATTCGGTAATTTGAAAGAATTATTTACAAGTCCTTACTGCTATAGCTTCCTTCAAAGGACGACTTCACTACTTTTAAATGTTACTTTAATATTTTATATATTATTGTTTCCCTAAAAATAAGACCTATCCCCAAAATAAGACTTAGCTTGATTTTTTACATATGTGATCAATATAAGCCCTGGTTAAGACCTCTCTCACTCCGGGGTGCACAGGGTGGAGCAAGGCACATGGGTAAAAATTAAGCTAGGGTGAGAATGTGGGGGGTGGAGCTGCCCTACTACTTATCTTTGGACAGTTGCCTCACACACCCTGACACCTGCCTTGCCTTTCTGGCCCACTTCTGCAGCCACTTGCACATATTGCCCCCAGCCTCTGTTTCACTGTCAGAAGCCTTCAGGAAAAGCCTCAGCAGCCAACAAATGGGATCTGGATTGATACGTGCGGTGCCCCCTGGCCTCGTTTCACTGTCAATCTGGAGCTCTGTTATCAGCGGCAGAGGCCTTTCCTGAAAGCCTCTGATGGTGAAATGAGGCTGGGGGGCAATGCGCTCATCAACCCAGAGCCTGTTTCTTTTTACAAAAGTCCTCTGACAGGAAAACAGAGGTTGGGGGTGACATGCGCAAGTGGTGACAAGTGGCTGCAGAAGAAGTGGGCCGGCAGTGGGCTCCTTCTGGGCAGGGCTGTCAGTGCCGCCACCACGAGGTGATTCAGTGGAAGTCACCCCTGAAAATAAGACCTGGTGCCTTTTTGGGTGGCAAAAAGTATATATAAAACCGGGTCTTATTTCCAGGACATTCTTTAACACCATAGTAGGTTTTCTATTTCTATTTTCTGTCACCAAATGCAGGTGATATGGAAGCCATTCCTGTAGCAGTTGAATTACAAGATTACTAGTTTAAATAAACTACTATTACTACAATAAACTGCCTTATGACAGGATTATTTCTAAAACACTGTTTCTCAATATTAACAACTTTTAAGATGTGTGGACTTCAACTCCCAGAATTCTCCAGCCAGCCAAGCTTCAGGAATGGAGGACTATAAATTAGATCTTGGGTGGTTGAGTGCAATCTACACATTTGGGGTTGCACACTCCTGATTTAGATTAATTTTACTCAGAATAACAGAGTTTGAAGAAACCTTGGAGATGCTCTAGTCCAATCCCCTGCTCAAGCAGGAAACCCTATACCGTTTTAGACAAACGTTTATCCAATCTCTTCTTAAAAACCTCCAGTGTTGGAGCAGTATAACCTCTGGAGGCAAGTTATTCCATTGATTAATTGTTCTCACTGTTAGGAAATTTCTCCTTAATTCTAGGTTTCTTCTCTCCTTGATTAGTTTCCATCCATTGCTTCTTGTCCTGCCCTCAGGTGCTTTGGAGAATAGCTTGACTCCCTCTTCTTTGTGGCAGCCCCTGAGATATTGGAACACTGCTATCATGTCATCCCTAGTCCTTCTTTTCATTAAACTAGGCATACCCAATTCCTGTAACTCTTCTTCATGGCAGTACGAAATCGCCATAAGAAGTGATAATATATTCTCTAGTGATAATATATTCTCCCAGTAGTCATTTTGCTCAATATAAAAGGAACAGCAGATATTTGGTGTTTGAGGAACCAATGGATGAAGCTACTACTTGTGTGATCATGACTAAAAGAATCCAAGTCAGAATTCCCTCTTAATCAAAATAGCACCACAGCAGCGAAGGCCTTGGCATGCCTGGCATAAATGGGAAATCTCTCTTACTGGAAGGAAGTTTAGGAGGATATAACTAATATTACGTAGTCTTTCTGTGACATACAATTAATATAACTGGCTATTTTCAGGTTATTTAACCCTGCAGGACTTTAAACATAAAGAACTCAGTGACAGCTGCCAAATCATAACTAGGTTCATTTACCTTGCTTGGAAAACCCGTCCAAAAGCACCTTCCCCAATATCTCTCACATATTCAATATTATTTCGTGGATATTCCAAACTGAATAATTTGGGATTCAGAAGTAGAGGCATGCGTTGGTACATAGGATTGGGGTGCAGCCTGTCCAACAAGAGCTCCGAAGGAAGAGTTGTCAGAGCTGGTGGTGCCAATTCTCTGAAATGAATGAGGGAGAAAGAATCTGTGGCTTAATTGGAACAAGCCTTGCAAACAAACCAATAACGATTTGGGGACTGCATTACATCCTACAACACCTTGAATCTCCAAATACCTACACAAGGGTCCTCTTTGAAGACTTCAGTTCAGCATTCAATACCATCATTCCAGACACTCTTCTAAGTAAATTAAACCAACTAGCGATAGCTGAACACACTTGTAAGTGGATCATAAGCTTCCTAACAGACAGGAAGCAGCAGGTGAAGCTAGGCGGAATCACATCCGATACCTGTACAATCAGCACAGGGCCACCCCAAGGCTGTGTGCTATCTCCACTTCTCTTCTCCTTATATACCAATGACTGCATTTCAAATGATCCATCTGTTAAAATACTGAAGTTTGCTGATGACACAACAGTGATTGGTCTCATTTGAGACAATGATGAATCTGCATACAGACAGGATACAACTTGCCTTGTGGTGTAACCGGAACAATCTGGAACTGAACACACTCAAAACCGTAGAAATGGTGGTAGACTTGAGAAGAAACCCTCCTATACTACCACCTCTTACAATACTACACAACACAGTATCAACACTAGAGACCTTCAAATTTCTAGGTTCTATTATATCACATGAATGGACACCTAACATCAAAAACATCATCAAAAAAGCACAACAAAGAATGTTCTTTCTGCGCCAACTCAGAAAGCTCAAACTGCCCAAGGAGCTGCTGATCCAGTTCTACAGAGGAATTATTGACTCTATCATCTGCACCTCTATAACTGTCTAGTTTGGTTCTGCAACCCAACAGGACAGACACAGACTTCACAGGATAATTAGGACTGCAGAAAAAACAATTACTACCTACCTGCCTTCCATCGAGGACCTGTATACTGCACTAGTCAAAAAGAGGGCTGTGAAAATATTTACAGACCCCTCACATCCCGGACATAAACTGTTTCAACTCCTTCCCTCAAAACGATGCTATAGAGCACTGCACACCAGAACAACTAGACACAAGAACAGTTTTTTTTCCTGAAAGCCATCACTCTGCTAAACAAATAATTCCCTCAACACTGTTCAACTATTTACAAAGTACACTACTATTACTGTTAATCTTCTCACCACTCCTTACCACCCATCCCCTCCCACTTGACTGTTTCCTAGTATGATTTGATTGTTGATTGTACCCTATGACTATCATTAAGTGTTGTACGTTATGATTCTTGATTCTTAATGAATGTGCCTTTTCTTTATGTATACTGAGAGTATTTACACCAAGACAAATTCCTTGTGTGTCCAATCACACTTGGCCAATAAAGTATTTATTCTATTCTATTCTGTCTTAAATTCTAGCATCCATTCAGCCGAGATATAGGGAATATGCAAAAATAGAGGAATATTATAAATACAATATATAAACACGAATTTTAATTTAGAATGCTAGTCCATGTATGACATGCCATATGCTAAATAAATAAATAGAGAAATGTTATCATTTTGATAAAACACAAATTAAACTAGGGGGTTATTTTTTCCCCAGTCATTTAAGGCAGCGTCCCCCAACCTTTTGGATACTAGGTTCCGTGAAGAGAAGTTTTTCTGAGAACCGGGGCAGGGCTGGTTTCTCATGCTGCCTGCAACCCATGCTGGGGCTTTGCTTGGTTGCTGCCCCTTTTCTGGCCTGCCGCAGCCTGGTGTGGTCCACAGACCAGGGGTTTGGGACCCCCGATTTAAGGTATGCAATCCTGCCTCCAGTATTACTCTTAGGAGCATCTATATCCATGATACTTTGCACTAAAAATGACACTTAGAAAAGGGTAAATCTGCCTATCTACAAAACTTCCCTTCCCTAAACTGATTCCTTCTGTTTTATAGAATTTCAGGTCATATAATCCCCATTTATGGCCATGTAAGGGTAATGGAAAAGCAACAACACAGGACTATAACAGGAGAGGTAGAAGATCTGAAGAAATACCACTTGCCTAAAAGCAAACACTGGTGGGACTACAAAACAAAGTAATAGAAAGTAAGAAACTAAATTATGGTGGGAGTTTAGAACTGAGATACACAAGCACTTGCCACATAGTATCCCAGACTTAACCATTGTCCGTAAGAAAGACAAAAAAAAAGTCTGGATAGTGGATGTGGCAGTATCTGGAGACAGCAGAAGAGAAGAGAAAGAACTGGAGAAAAATCACAAAATACATCACTCTGCACGTAGAAATAGAATGACAAGACAGAGACAATCTGGCCCAAAGCCAACCACTTGACTTTCACACCTAAGGGAAGTTTGGAATTCGCTGCCCTTCGGATTCTTTAACTACAACACTAAACTGGCTCTTCAGTTCAGCAGGGTTGATGTCATTCTTCATTTTGCTGAATCTGATTGTGCTCACTAACACTTACCTTGTTTTGTTTTTCCATTGCTTGCGCCTCCGACAACAAACCAGGACTGTAACAATGAGAATGATGACCATCGCAAAGCTGGAGATGACAGAGATGATGACAGTCATGGAATAGGTAGGAGAGAAGAAAGGGAAATGTGGAGGTGCTGTACTCATCTTTGCTGTTCCTAGTGCCAGGGAATCTAAAATAGAAACAAATGAGACTTCAATTTTAGAGGCACAGTTGCTTATGCGATTATCATATTGCCATGGAAATTATGGAAGCAGCCTGAATAAGCAGAAGCACTATCCAGTGAGTTGAAGGGAATAGGAATTGAGGTCCTTGTTTTTAGTGCACAAAAATATTTGAGGAGAAAATTATAGCATTCTTAGTCCTCAAATGGCAACAATAAATAATGGACAGAAATATTTAATGGAGTGGAACAATGCATTTGACAGAACCACTGTTCAAAATTCATTGGTCCAAGCAAAACACCTCCTCCTGTAACATTAAAGCAGACACCTTCTCTGGAAAGCCAGACTGCAGCTGTTTTAAAAAGCTCAGACAATCTTTCATTGAGATTGCCAGCAAAACAGCTCTACATATGCATGCATAAACTGACAGCTGGGGACAATCTTCACAGTCGCTGCATGAGCCTTCTAAATATCACACCTGACCCTCCAAGGAGGGATATTTTGTTGCAAGCATTCCTTGTGTTTCACCCAGCCCTGAAAGGGGCCATCAAACTTTTCTAAAACTATTTTAATACTCCCTTTCACATGTGACCTCCAAATGATTTTAGAACTAGCAATATGCCCCACTTAGGTTAAAATACTGCGCGACTGTTCCAAGGAAAAATCTGCAGATTAGGAGTGTTAAGTCGTCCCTCCTCTTCTTACAAGTGCCAAAACTCCAAATCAAATCCACATCCACTCCTACATTGACTTTATGATGTAGTTCAATTGTTGATGAATCACTATTTTGATTTTAATGAAATATGAAGAACATGGCAGAGACATGTTCTTCAAAAGAAAGAAGAAACAAATGTGAATAGCTAAGATCCAGTGATATACTTAATTTTATTACTGTACTGTACAGTAAACCCTTGCAACGTAATAAATTTGAAAGCAGGTGGGTCTTTATTGGTTAACTTTCAACCTGAAATAAAGCATAATTGATTATCAGATTTAATTATTGGTACTAGTCAACCTTAATGTCTATGGAGATTCTCAATCATCCAGGTTATGGTTGTCCCAAAAGTGCTTTTTCCAAAAGGCAACTGGACTTTCTTTGGTTTTTTTTCTTTGAAGATAATTCACTTCTCATCCAAGAAGCTTCTTCAGTTCTGAGAAGTGAAATATTTTCAAAGAAAAAAACAAGAAAGTCCAGTTGACTTTTGGAAAAAGCACCTTTGGGATAATCAATTTTAATGTACTATGGTAAGTTACCAAAAATGTGAAAATGTGCTGTTGTAACACCGAAACAGTGTAACACTGTTGTTTGAACAACCACTAAACACTAATGGTTGTAAGTCACTACCTGTATTTACAACCAAATTCCAAACATAAGCAGAAGTTCATAGAGTAATGCCGAATCAAAAATTTCAAAGTAGCGAGCTTGCAGCTTTTGGACTAGATCTGCTGGGTAAAATTCACACTAGACCACCACTGAATAATCAGGGGTGTGATTCGACCAGTGTAACAACCGGTTTGGTGAGTGCATATGTACGTGCCAAAGGCACACTTCGCGCATACGCAGAGCATTTGCTACTGACCTTCTCCAGCAATCTCTCTGTGTTAAACAGCTGACGCGTGGCAATCCACTGTGCCGCACGAATCAGCTGAGCTTGAAAACCAGGATATAAAGCGCAGACTAGAGCCCAGGCGGGCGGGCGGGTGGGCCCAACAGCTGATCATCACAGCAAACCGGTTCGCTCACAGCTGATCCTTGGAGCTACCGGTTCACTTGAACCGGGACGAACCGGTAGAATCCTACCCCTGTGAATAATGTTTGCAATGAGATCTTACCGTCTTCACACTGAGCTATGTGGCAGTATTCCCACGGGATAGAAGGATCTCTTGTATAACACCAGGGCCGCACATTTTCACCCCCTGGATTACGACAATAATTGATTGCATTGAGGAGCTCTGGGAAAATCTCAGGTGTTTTTCTATGTGCATGAGGAACCTAGTGATAGGGGAGAAGATATTAAATATTTTTCAAGTATTTTCTAAAATTTTGGGCACTTTTGAAGCAATCTTAGCAGAATTTTGTAAAGAATGAAAGCTCCAGGGGGGAGGTCTGATGAATCAGTCCTAGGCTATACCTTCCCCATTTAAAAATATGAATGGAATGATCAACTTGTTTTCCGGCCATATGTTTTGCATTCGTCAGGTCTACCCTACTGCCACATTTATCTGTTCAAAAGAAAGCTCTGCAGGAAAATATGAATCTGGATTTTCTCCTTTTCAAAATACATTTATCTATTTTTTAAATTTTGTTTCCATACTTATTTTTAGTGCTTCTTTTTTTTCAACAGAAATAACCACAGATCCATCAGTGAGAACTGCAAAAGAGAACTTGCATCTTAATCCACACATTAGACAGGAAGTCCATTTCATTTTGTAACACAGAAAGGACAAAATCCTCAAGCATGACAGCAATGTGTTTCTCATTTTCGACTCTTACTAAGCAATATATTTCAAACTGTGTTTGTCTCCCAACATAAAGCCCTTTTTAATCTGCAAATAAACTTGACATAAACAATCTTCTCCTCTACACAAAGGCTAATCTACTTCCTTGCCCAGCCCAGAAATCATTTGATATCAATGATTCCCGGAGGGAGGTAGATATTCAAATCTACTTTACAGCAAATCTACTTTTGTCCACCTTGAAAAATGGTCTTCTTACCTGCGCACTCCACTTCTGACAAGGAAGGCCAGAAGCTGTGACATTCACCAAACCTTCATAGGTCATCCCATTCCCTTTGTAACAAGTTTCTGAAGACAAACAAAATTAAACCAGATGGTCTAATAACAGTATATGGTACATTCCCCCTTAGTGGACAAAGCATATTTGCTCTGACAATATTGAAAAAATAATTACGTTTTCTTTCAAGGGTTAAATGGGGAGGTTGAATATGGTTCACTGGCGTCTTTTTGACAGATCAGAAACTCAGCAAGATTATTTATGGGGCGGCTGTAACAGCTCTCATAAACCTCATGCCTCTTTTTCTTTCTAAGTCCAGTTAATTTAATTGAAAATTTTTACTGTTACAGTCATGAATCTTCTGCCCATCCTGCTAAATTGCCCAACACTTTTTTTACAAAACCATATATTCTTTTAAAACATCAGAACTGCTTACTTGTTGTGCCTTCTTTTTTCAGATCTGAGGAAAGAAAAAGATAGGAGAGGAGAATGTAATCCAGATCCTATATAGTAATCCCTGAGATAAAAGGTTTGGTGCTGTGGTATTTAGTATGACATGATTATAGGAACATTATCAACCAATCCTCATATCCCCAGTTAGATGGTCAGCCATTTGCAGATAACTATAAATCACCATGGAAAGAACATTTTAACCTGATTTTTTTTTTCTGTGAGTTATATTGTGCTTCCAGAGCTCAGGGCACTTGATGAAAAAGTTCCTCATCACTTTGATTAAAATACATTCAGTGATATGTGGAGGTTGAACATTTCATAGGTACCCAAGCTGCCAGGTATTTGCCTCTACCTAATGGCAAAACACTTTTTTTTCCTTGTCTTGTTGTGTCCTGCTTGGCTACTCAGAGGCTAAATCAGAATCCCATTAC